TGGAGCCCACAGCCGAGCCTGTGTCCTGACCGGGAATCGAACCCTGACCTCCTGGTTCCTACGTCCACGCTCAACCACTGAGCCACCCCGGCCAGGCTGCGTGTGGTCATTTTATAAATCCTGTGACCCCCAGCCTCTGAGGCGCCTGCCCTTCCCGGGGAGATCGGATTTCTGTCTTTCTAATCCCCGGCCCATCTGTGCCCCTCCACCCGCCCCCTGGCCGCTGCCGCTGCTGCCAGCGGGACTGAGGGTTTGGCCTCTTAGAACCGGGCACATCCCAGAGCCCTGTGGTGGGTGGAGGGGTCAGGGAGGCTCCGAGGAACTGGGGGTGCCCCCCCACGGGCTCCGTGCCTGCCCTGGGGCCTGTCCCTCACCCCCGTCTGCCCCGAGTTGGGGGCACTTCCTCGGCGATGCCCCCGATGCCCCCGGGCCTGCTCTGGCTCTGCCTGGCCCTGTGGGAGGCCCGCGGGGGACCTCCCATTCATCCCGGAGAATGAGGCGGCGCTGACGGTGAACTGGTGAGGAGCCGGGGCTGGGGGAGGGTGTGGCCGCGTCTCCGTGGCCCCTGGGTTTGCATGACCCCCTCCCCAACGGGAAAGGTGCTTTGAGTCCTGCAGGCAGAGCCGAGTGGATCTGAGGTTACGAGGTCTTCCTTCGGCCGAATCGTAGGGAGTGGGTGGTGTGGCCGAGGAGCCCGGATGAATTGGACGAGGGGAGGGGGTCCGACTTAGGGGGCCCCTCGATTGAGGGGGTCTGCCGGCCATGTGGGCGGAGCTGGGGCTTTGAGGCCCATGAACAGCATGGCTTGGAGCTTGCTGTCGACATGCAAAGCCTGGGAGCTCAGATGGGCGAGCTGAGGGGGGCCCTGTGAGCCTTTTGTCACAGCGTCGAGGCCACAGGGGGGCAGCGGGGGATGGTCAGCTCTGCCCCTTACCAGCCCGTGTGGCTCAGTGGTTGAGTGCTGACCTAGGACCCAGGAGGTCAGGGTTCGATTCCCGGTCGGGGGGCCGGGGGCGTGCAGGAGGCAGCCGAGCCAGGCTTCTCTCTCATGGACGTTTCTCGCTCCCTCTCCCTTCCTCTCTCTGGGGCCTGGAGCTCGGGCCTTCATCGGGGCTCTCTCCGTCCCGTTACCCTTTTCTCCTCGGCTGCCCGAGGCTCCCTGGAGCCCTGCCCTGCTCACAGCCACTCCCCGTGGCCCCGGCCGCCAGAGCTGGGCCTGTGGGACCAGGAGGCGTCCGGAGACGCCCCGTGCAGCCCGAGGGAAGGGAGGCACCTCGCGCCTGGGGACACCTGCCCCGTTTTGTGTCAGGTGACATGTCAGGGGCGCTGCACCTGTAGGGCTCAGCCCCAGCTGCCGGTAGGGCCTGGGCTGTCCACTCGCGCTTCCCAAAATTCGAGCCCGGGTCCATCCTCGGTGAATGCCTGGTCTCCGCCTGCCACCAGGGCTGCCGACCGACCGCTGTGTCCCCCCCAACCCCCCCCACCCCACCCACGGCTGAGGGGAGAGTGCGGCGTCCGGCCCGCCCGCCGGGACTCACCTACGGTGGTGGAGCAGTTGGCCGAGTGTGTCTCGAACCCTGTCAGGTAGTACTGGTTCAGCCGGGAGCCGTCCTCAGCCACATCCAGCCCGTGGGTGGCGTTCGTTTCGAGCCACACGTAGGCGATTTCCTCGTTGGTGTAGGCGTCTGGGGTGGGGGGAGACAAGGAGAGCGGCATAAACGGGGTGTCACCTGACACCGGGCCGTCCGAAGGAGCCAGAGAGACCGTAGGAAGCCCGAGTCCAGCCCAGCCCGTCTGCTCTCCTGATGGCCGGCTGAGCATCCGTTTCGTGGGAGGGGGGCCTGGGAGGGCTCTCCCGGTGTCTGTGCCTGGACGGTGTGCTGACCTGGGAGCGGGTCTGCCCAGCAGGGGTCCCTGTGTGTGTGTGGGGGGGTCGCTGGGGGTGAGCAGGCTGGCCCTGTGCCCTGCAGGCTCAGTTTGCTGGGCGCCAGGCCTCCAAGCCTCTCTCCCCACTGCGAGGGGGGGTGCTGGTGAGCGATCGTCCGCATTTGTCCACAAGGACCCAGCGCAGTGATGGCGATCGGACGAAACGTGTTTGACAGCGGGAAGCGACACAGGCCTGTCACTCACAACCCACCCCCTTTAGGACCCCTGTCCCCGTCCCTTTCTCTCTGAAATCCATAAAAACACATGGGAAAAGGAGCACTCACAGCTTCCGAACTGCAGGGAGCACGTGTGCTCGTCCATGGGGAAGTCGTAGAGCTGCATGGGGCAGTCGGCAGAGATGGTCAGGCTGCAACAGAAGAGGGAGAGTCAGGGGTCGCCGGCCCCCTGCGCGCCCCCCGCCCTGGGGATCCAGCGAAGTCGGACTGGAGGACGGGTGCTTGCCTACCTCATTGTCTCAGATGGAGAGACTCCTCTATAGACCAAACGCTTCTGGCTACACATGGATAATGCATTTCAAATACTGCCCCAGCGTAAGATGTGCAGAACATGCCTATGATGCCCTTCACGCAAGTTAACGATTATACTGCGCACCTGTATGGGACTGTCTGCTTCTTAGGCTAGAACTCAGGCCGCGCTCAGCCAATTCCCGCGCAAACACGGTCCTTTGCTGCCCTCCTGTGGCCGTTTGGAGGAATAACACTTTGTGTCTCTGTCCGCGTTATACGCACATACACACACTAGGACCCAGTTAAAAACGTCTAGTTATGTGCGGATAATTTACTCCAAATGTTACCCAAACACGTGTAACACGTAGACAATTCCCTTCAAGTAAGTGACTGATTCTACTGGACACCTGCGTGGGACTACACTGCAGAGGTTCTCAACCTTCCTAAGGCCGCGACCCTTTCATACAGTTCCTCCTGTTGTGGGGACCCCCGACCATAAAATTATTTTCGTGGCTGCTTCGTAACTGTCATTTTGCTACTGTGATGAATCGTCATGTAAATATCTGATATGCAGGATGTATTTTCATTGTTACAAATGGAACATCATTAAAGCATAGTGATTAATCACAAAAACAATATGTAATTATATATGTGTTTTCCGATGGACTTAGGTGACCCCTGTGAAAGGTTCGTTCGACCCCAAAGGGGTCGCGACCCACAGGTTGAGAACCACTGGACTACAGACTATTATACCAGAACTTAATACCTGCTGTCCGCGGAGTCCTGCGCATAAATGATCCTCTGCTGCCCTCCTGTGGCCATTTTGGAGAATTGCACATTTACCAGCTTTCCCATTGAGAAACATAGACTGTACTGATTAGAATGAATTAAAAAACAACAAACCCCTGGCTGGTTTGGTTCAGTGGATAGAACGTCTGCCTGCGGACTGAAGGGTCCCGGGTTCGATTCTGGTCAAGGGCACATGCCTGGGTTGTGGGTTCGTATGGGGGCGTGCAGGAGGCAGCTGATCAACGACTCTCTCATCATTGATGTTTCTATCTCTCTCCCCCTTGACCTTTCCCTCTGAAATCAATTTCTAAGTTTTTAAAAGAAGGGCCATCCCTAGCCAGTTTGGCTCAGTGGATAGAGCATCAACCCGTGTCCCGGGTTCGATTCCCATCAAGGGCATGTGCCTTGCTTGCAGGCTCCTCCCTCGCCCAACCTTGGTCAGTGCTCCTATAGGAGGCAACCAATCGATGTGTTTCTCTCACATGGATGTTTCTCTCTGTCTCTCCCTCTCTCTTCCATTCTCTCTAAAAATCAATGGAAAAATATCCTCAGGTGAGGATTAACAAAACAAACAAACAAACACAGGAAGAAAGCAAGATTTACCGAATATATCTCTCGGTGCCATATTTACCCAGACACTGGTGTGTGCATGTATGGAGATGAATATAGATACAGAAAAAGATAAAGATATAGATGCTCATACGTGTGTATACTCACAAATGTACTAGTTCCTAGTTAAAAACTTCTAGTTATATATGGACGATTAATTTCAAATACTACCCCAGAATAAAACGTGTAGAATGCCCTTCAAGCAAGTTACTGATTATATTGGACACCTATATGGAGCTATCTGCTCATCACGCTAGAACTTAAAGGACGCGCTCAGCCAATTCCTGCGCAAACATGATCCTCTGCTGCCCTCCTGTGGCCGTTTTAAGGAATAGCACTTTGTGTCTCTGTCCGCGGTGCTGAAACCCCGGTCAGAAATCCCTGGTTCTGCTTCCAAACCAGGCGGAGCCAGGTCCGACGGGAGGACAGATGTTTGCCTGCCTCGTTGTCTCTGATAGAGAGACTTCCCTCCCACCCAGGACTCAGGACACTCACGGGCACTGACCCCAGAGCTTCCCCTTCGGAGGGGGTGGAGGAAAGGGGGGATCCGGTCACCGCCTCCCAGCTCGCCTGCTCCCCAAGGAAAACGTCTCCTATTTGGCATGTCCCCTCAGGCACGTGGTCGCCCCCTACTACCCGGGGTTTTTATGGCAGTGAAACTGAAACTGCCATGCGATCAGCACCAGAAATTCCAGCTAGAAAACCACACAGAATGGGCAGTGCTGGGTTCTGCACCTCTCCCCTGCCCAGCCCTGCAAAGGAGGCCCGGGGCACTGCTGGGCAGGGTGCCCTTTAACCGTGTTCCAGCCCCCCTGCCTAATATATCTGTTGGTGCCGTGTTTTTTTTTTTTTTTTAAGATAACAAACTATGAATTCATTTTATTATAATTTTTTTTTGGTTAATCCTCACCCGAGGATATTTTCCCATTGATTTAGAGAGAATGGACGAGAGAGGGAAAGAGAGAGAAATAGCGATGTGAGAGAAACACATCCATTGGTTGCCTCCTGCAAGTGCCCCGACCAGGGCCTGGGCCGGGGAGGAGCCTGCAACCGAGGTATGTTCCTTCGACCGGAATCGAACCTGGGACCCTTTGGTCTGCAGGCCGATGCTCTACCCACTGAGCAATACCGGCTAGGGATGTCGGTGCTGTTTTTAACTAGACACTGGTGTGCAAATGTCTGGCAATAAATACAGGTAAAGATATACTTGCTTGTGTGTGTATAGGCTCATGCACTCCCAGTGCCTACTTACAAACTTCCGGTGGCATACGGATAATTTATTTTAGATCCTACGCAGGAATAAAACATGTACAACATATATGCACTGTCCTTCAAGTAAGTGACTCATTATACGGCACACGACTACGGATCCATAAACTTCTTACAGGAGACTTGGAAGGAGGCTATCAGCACATCAGCGCGCAAAAATGACCCTCTGCTGCCCTCCTGTGGCCATTCTGGGGAACAACACCTTGTGCCTCTGTCCATGGTGCTGACGTCCCAGCTAAAGCCCCGTAAACACGACCAAAAATTCTACCCCCCCACCCCCCCAAAACCCCCTACAAAACCAGCTACAGGGATGAAGGACCGGGCCCAGGTTCTACCCAGGCAGTGCCCGGAGCCTCCTCTGTCTAGACCAGTGGTTCCCAGCGTGGGGCACACGCCCCACAGGGGGGCAGTTTGAGTTTTAAGGGGGGCAATTCGAGAATAAGTTATTAGCCATGGATGTTTTGCATTTCTTATGGTTCTAGGGGCCTCATGGACCGTCTAAAATATCTATATAGTGACATATTTATGCATCTCAGTTCTGTATTATGTTTGGAATCTTTATTTGCTATTTTTTCCTATCCCGTCACATTATTATTATTATTTAAACAATTCCTTAGCGATTTCTTCCTCAGTCCGTCCACTGTCCTTTCGTTCTTTTTTTTTCTCTCTCTCTCTCTTTCATGGACGCCATGTTCTTTGGAAGCTCGTTTAGACCAAGTTCGTGGCCTTTGAGGCTTCCTCCACGTGAACGGGAGCTCACTTTGTGAATAATAAGAATTCTATGTCGGGGGAGGGGGCATCAGGATGGTAGAGAGGCTTAGGTGGGGCGTGGCCAAGGCACGGTTGGGAACCACTGCTCTAAGGTGACCCTGTCCCCCCATTGCCCCTCTGCCCTGTGCCCCGGCCCCCTGCCCACCCCACGCTGCACCCCGTATCCCTCCTCTGTGATGTCTCCACCCCCATCCTGCGCTGCCCCTGATAAGCCCCCGTTATAATTCCTGCTGCACCTGCACTGCCCCCTTGCCCTCCTCTTGTGATCCCTCCCTGAGGACCCTGCACGCTCCACCCCGGCCCCACATCCCCCTCCCCGCACCCTCCCGTGGTGCCAGGCCCGCAGCTGCCCCCGCAGGACGGACGGAAGGACGGACGGACGGGCTCACCGCATGGTGTAGAGCAGGGTCCCGTCCGACTCCAGGCGCAGCAGCTTGTTGGGCGTGGTCGTGTTGTGCACGACGGACTTCTTGCTGTTGTGGAAGTAGGTGTCCGGGGTCCAGATCTTGCCGGCCATCAGGTTGTTGAGCGACAGGCTATGTATGGGCCCCTTGAACTGCAGCCGCTCGTCATTCCAGCTTTGGCGGAAGAAGACGTCGATGGTGTATTCCTACGGCAGAGCCGGGGGGTGGGGGAGAGAGGGGGGACACGGGTGAGGTCACAGCTCGGGGAGCCCCCTCCCCAGATCTTTGTGTTTATCCCCTGGGACCTGGCGGGGGGCGCGCCCCGCACCTACCATCTGCGTGTCGGACACCGGGCCGATGCTGGTCACCAAGATGTCGGTGTTCACCACGGTGGTCCACTCTGAAACAGACGCAGGTGCCTGAGCGACCGCCCCCAGGGGTCCAGTCCTCCGTCCAGCCCAGGGCGCCCCACCTCGCTTGGCCACGCCCCCTGAGCATCTCTACCATCCTGATGCCCGCCCTCCCCCACGCCCTCCCCACACGGAATTCTTCTTATCCACAAAGTGAGCTCCCGTTCACGTGGAGGAAGCCTCAGAGGCCGTGAACTCGGTCTAAACAAGCTGCCAAAGAACATGGCGTCCACGAGAGAGAAAAGCAAAAGGACTAAAGGACAGCGGACGGACTGAGGAAGGACTCACTAGGAATTGTTAAATAATAATAATGTGAAGGGAGATGAAAAAATAGCAAATAAAGTTCCAAACATATAACAGAGAACCGAGAGGCATAAACACGTCACCATACATATGTACAGACTGTCTATGGCAGGGATGGCGAACCTATGACACGCGTGTCAGAGGGGACACGCGAACTCATTTTTTTGGTTGATTTTTCTTGGTTCAATGGCATTTAAATCTATAAAATAAATATCAAAGATATAAGTCTTTGTTTTACTATGGTTGCAAAGATCAAAAAATTTCTACCAGAGTTAAGTTAGGGATTTTCAAAATGCTGACACGCCGAGCTCAAAAGGCTCGCCATCACTGGCCTATGGGGCCCCTAGAACCTTAAGAAATGCAAAACATTCACGGTGAATGACACGTTCTCGAGCTGCCCCCCTTAAACACCAAACGGCCCCCCCGTGGGCGTGTGCCCCGCGCTGGGAACCCGCGCTCACCTCCGAACCCGGGCCGCAGCCTCTTGTCGTAGCCCTCCAGGAGCCCGTCCAGGATGCGGGTGTACATGGTGATGTTGTCTTCGGGCTCCTCTTCGGGGCCGGGCGGCTTCTGCAGAAAGCTTTGGGAACAGAGACACAAACGGGTTCCGGCTCCTGCTCAGGATTTCTTTCTTTCTTCTTTTTTTAAAAATTATTTTTACTGCCCGGCCGGTGTGGCTCAGTGGCTGAGCCTTGATCTAGGAACCAGGAGGTCACGGCTCAATTCCCGGGTCGGGGCACATGCCCCGGTTGCGGGCTCGATCCCCAGTGTGGAGTGGGTAGGGGGCAGCCGATCCACGATTCTCTCTCCTCATGGATGTTTGTCTCTCTCTCTCACATCAATTGTGTTTCTCTCCCTCGCTCGCTGTCTGTCCCTCCCTCCCTTCCCCTCTCTGAAAAGCAATGGAGAAAGTACCCTCAGGTGAGGATCACCAACACTTTAAGAGGAGCTTTCCCGGCTGAGAGCCAGCTGTGGGCCCCAAGGAGTCAGCCCTCGGCAGCTGGGGGGACAGCGGAACCCCGGAACCTCCTAAGGGCTGGCCGCGGGGTCCCGGCTCTGCGGGCTCTACTTTCTCTGGGAGGATTGGCCGAGAGCTGACAGCAGCGGCAGCGTCCGGGACGGGTGCTGGGCGGAACCCATGTGCGCCTGCCTGCTCCTCCCGGTCCTGGACGCGGGCCCCTGTCACCTGTTGCCTCTGAACAGATCAATTCCCTTCCGATCGAGGAGGGTGGCAGTTCTGTGGGTCTCCCTGCCACACCCCCGTTGGGATGCGACCGCGTGAAGCTCTAAGAAGCTAACGTTCAGTCCCGTTGGTGCGGGGCCCACCGACGCAGCTTTCTCCTCGGCGACTCACCTTGTCAGAGCACTAAGTGCGCCCGGCTGGGGGTTGAGGGCGGACCCAGGAGGCAAGAGGCACCCTTTCGATTCCCAGTTGGGGCACATAGAGGAATCAACCAATAAGTGGGAAAGCAAGTCGATGTTTCTCTCTTTCCTCCCTCCCTCCCTCCCTCCCCCGCCTTTCTCTCTCTCTCTCAAATCAATAAATTAAAAAGAAAAGGAGCCCTAGCTGGTTTGGCTCAGTAGATAGCACGTTGACCCACGGACTGAAGGGTCCTGGGTTTGATTCCGGTCAACGGCACCTGCCTAGTGGTGAGTCATTCCCTGCCCTGGTCAAGGTAAGTTTGGGAGGCAATCAATGGATGTCTCTCTCTCTCTCTCTCTATCTATCTATCATCTATATCTATCTATTTATCTATCTATCCATCTATCTATCATCTATCTATCATCTATCTATCTATCTATCTATCTATCATCTATCTATCTATCTATCTATCTATCCATCTATCTATTTATCTATCTATCATCTATCTCTCTCTCTATCTATCTATCTATCATCTATCTATCTATCTATCTATCTATCTATCATCTATCTCTCTATCTATCATCTATCTATCCATCTATCTATCTATCATCTCCCTCTCCCTTCCACTCTCTCTCTAAAAAAAATCAATGGTAAAATATCCTCGGGTGAGGATTAACAACAAATTACAAGCAGCGTGTCACAGGCATGGAGAGGAAGGCCCCTCCCCGGTCGCAGAAAGCAGAGCGTGTGCCCCCAGCAGGGCCAGGGATCGAACCTGCCACCCAGGCACCTGCCCTTGACCAGGAATCAGACCCACGGCCTCTGGGAGTGAGGGCCGGCGCCCTAACCACTGAGCGGCACCGGCCAGGGCTTATGACAGTGTTTTTAAAGGGGGCACGTTCAGCCGTGATGTCCTCGTTTCTGGGGGAAGGAATAAACAACAAACCACATCTGTTGAGCCTCGTCCTACCAGGAACGGAGCCGCGGACACAATTAGGGACGCGTTTCTCGGCGATGTTCTCTCTGCCTCCGCGGCCGGCCATGTCTGATGTACATAATTGGGATCGATAACGGCCATGGCGGCCCCGGGTTCGCGCTCACTTACTCGGGGGACGTGGCCGGACTGGCTGTAAGCAGCGGCTGATCTGTCTCCCTAAGTGGCATTTCTGGCTGCGCCCTCCCCCCCCCCCCCGAGTATTTAATTACTTCTGAGAAATGTACCTCCGGTCGACTCGTTTGTTACTTTAAACTCATTAGGTGAGCACCTGGAAAGGGCACGGGTTTGCGAGCTCTGTCCTCAGAGTGTCCATGGCACACCTCGCGAGCCCACCGTGTTCAACAACACGATGTAAGAGGGCCCTGGCCGGTGTGGCTCAGTGGACAGAGCGTCGGCCTGTGGACGGAAGGGTCCCGGGTTCGATTCCCCAGCGAGGGCACGTACCCCTGCTGCAGGCTCCATCGCTGGTCCGAGCTGGGGCACGTGCAGGAGGCAGACAATCGAGGGCTCTCTCTCTCTCTCTCTCTCTCTCTCTCTCTCTCTCTTTCTCTTTCCTCCCTCCCCTCCCATCTCTCTGATAATTAAGGGGAAAATATCCCCCAGTGAGGATTAAAAGCAAACAAACCATTCCCTGGCCGTTGTTTTGTTGACCCACAAATGAATGGCCAACTGCTCTTCCAGATACAATGTCGTGCGGCCGACCCTTCAGGACTGACCCTTCCCCTTCCCCATGGCCCCTCAGACAATTCCTCGTATCAGCCTCCCCTGTCCTCACCCCCAGGTCTAGTAACACCCCCAGGGCGGCTGGCTGTACTAGTGCCCCTCCCTTCCTCCACCCCTCCCTCCCTCCCCCACTCCCAGGCCTCCACTCAGCCTTTCCTCGGCCTGCGCCCAAGTACCCTCCACCTGCCTGTGCCGTGGGATCTGCCAGGAGCCCCACTCGGAGACGGGGGAGCCGAGGGTCAGGTGGGTTAAGTGAACCTTTTGATGCCTCGGCCAGTGTAGCAGCAGGGACCCAGCGGCCCTGCTAGCCCCCTCTCTCCACGGAGCGCCCAGGAGCCCCCCCCCCAAATCCTCGCCAGGGCCCCTGAGACAGACATCCCCCGACTCTGTTGTTGTAAAGACTGAGAATGAAGTGCTCCTGGGTTTCATTTGTCACGGCTTTGCCCTTCGGCTCTGAAAGCCACGGCGCAATGACTACAACTACAATAGGGTTTCCAGTGAATGGCCGGGGCCCCGGTCCCTCCTCTGCGGTATTGTGCTGCCCGGTACACGGCCTGTGTGTGTGTTTCTATGTTTTTGTTAACCCTCAACCAAGGATATTTTTCCATCGATTTTTTTTAGAGAGAGAGGGAAATGTCGATGTGAGAGAGACATGTTGATTGGCCGCCTCCCGCACGTGCCCGGACCAGGGCTGGGAACGAACCTGCAGCCCAGGTGCGTGGCCCCTTCACTGGGACTCGAACCCAAGACCCTTTGGTGCTCAGGCCCATGTTCTAACCACTGAGATATTCTTTTTTTAAATTGTTATTATTGATTTCAGAGAGGAAGGGAGAGGGAGAGAGAAACATCCATGATGAGAGAGAATCATGGATTGGCTGCCTCCTGCACGGCCCCCAGTGGGGACTGAGCCCACAACCCGGGCATGTGCCCTGACCGGGAATCGAACTGTGACCTCCTGGTTCCTAGGTCAATGCTCAGCCACTGAGCTGCCACGCCAACCAGGGCAACAAAACTATTCCTACCTCCCTTTCGAGGAATAAGCAAGTGAGAGGAGCCGTATCAAAGACAAGACGTCTACAGGGGCTTTTGTGCCCAGAGGTGAAGACGTCTCTTTGGTGGGGGCTGAAGGACCCCCGCCCCCCGCCCAGGCTCAGGGGTGTGAAACCCGGCTCCCTGCTTTGCTAGATGCCCCTCCCTGGACAGGACAGGCTCCGGCGCCGAAAACATGGCGAGGACGGGATGTGAAACTCCACTTACCACGGCCGTCTGAGCCCGAGGTGTTCATTGTGGGGAAATGTATGACAGCGGATGAGAAACTGAATTGGAGATGAGCAAGCAGTCGTGCCTTTTCATAACAGCCACCCATGTGTAAATCATACATTTCAACGAGTTTATAATAACAAAGCATTAGGCTCGGGGAGAAAAATCATCGCGCCAAATTGAAGGTGAAGTAGGATCCCTGTTGCATACATAAATATGCATAAAAATATGCAGAGAAGCAAGAGGGGAGAAAACACACGAAAATAGGAAGGATGCTGGCTGCTGGGTGGTGGGATTAAGGATATCCTGCCCCCCCCCGCCCCGTTTTTATACATTAGTCTGTGGCTCACGCGTTCATGTGCGTGTGCACACGCAGGAGGTATTGTTTCCGGATGGGCGGTCGCTCTGACCTCTCCCTGCAGGGTATTAAGGATCCCGAACCCCGGGTTCTCTCGGGAAACGGGAGGGCAATGTACCGCCGTTCCGTGGAAGCTTCCAGAAACCAACAGCCACCACTCCGTGGCGCGGATGACCTCAGGAAGCCACCAAATTAGAGGAGAAAGAAAGCATTGTCGCTGCTAATGGCTGCGGCCCTGGGCCCATTACCTCCCATTTCAGACCCGCATGCACCGGGGACCGTAATAGCTGCCTCCGTCGCTGCAGAGGGCAGATGCACCATCGTCCGCTCCGCCGACTCTCAACAGCGAGACGCATGGATGTGCGTGTCCCTGACATCGCGCCACACGGGTGCCGTCTGTCAGCAAACAACCTAACGACCCTATGTGTCCACGGGGAGACGTGTACGTGGGGTGCGTTTTCACTTACACACACATGTTCCCTGGGAAACACGGGAGGACACCATGGTGGCCAGCTGGGGTGGGGATGGGCAAGGAGGCTTTTGTGTGTTTACCGCCAACCGGAGGGTGCGGGCGGCGAAGGGGGCGAGCAGCCGCCACTGGGCCGCGTCTCTGAAAGGCGCGGGCGCCCCCAGAACCCCTGGAGGGGGGAGCACAGAGCAGCACTTACCCGCGGCGGAAGTCCAAGTTCAGGAACAGGTAGAAGACCAGCAGGGTCTTGAGCATGGGCATCTTAAGGGCCATCTTGGCGGACGGAGGGCCGCAGCGCCCACCGCAGCCTCAAGCTGGGAGGGACAAAGAGAGGACACCCCATAAACACCCACGTTTCCTGCTCCCGCTCCTGGAATCAGCTCCTGCCCCTAACACACACGACTGACCCAGAGGGCAGCCGGCTCACGTTGGGCATCAAGAGAAACGCCAGTCTGGCCTCGTGTCCATTGACAGCGCGGCAGCCTCCTCCCCCCAGCCTCAGCTTCCCGCGTCTCTAGGACTTTGTGTTACCTCTTTAGCGTGTTACCAGCTGCCCCCCGCTCTCCGTCCGTCCTCAGTGCTGGACGGGATGGAGCTGGTTTGTGCTGTGCGAGCCTCGTGGGGTGATGATTACCCTTTTTTAATAAGGGCAGCGGAAGACGTCTGTTGCCACCAGGTGGGGAGAGAGAGTCT